GCTGTTAAAATAGCTTATAGATTATAGCTTAACAGATTAGAGATTATGACTTTAATCAGAAGTTGTTAATCTATTTGGTGTAACTGTTGGATTATAAATTTAAGTTGCTGAGTAGTGTTTATTAAATAAGCTGTGAAATAACTTTTTCAATTAATTTTTATTTTTTGTTTGTCTACATTTCTCATAAAAAATAAAAATAATAATCTATAGTCCATTTGAATCTTTTTCTATTTTTAAAAAAATAAAAAATAAAAAAATTTAAGAGTATAACCATAAATTAACATGTCCACAGCAGAAGCTGATAATCAGAAGCAAGGGGTGAGCAGCTTCTCAGAATCAGCTTTTTTGAGTTAAAATAAGCTGTTAGAATCAGAAGCTGTTTGAAATAAGTTTAACCAAACAGTCCAAAATAACTTTTTCAAAGCTAAAAGCCATAAGTTAACTCTGAAAAGCTGAAACAAACACCCCCAGTGCAATAGATAAAGCTACAGTTATATAGTTCTTCATCCAAGTAAAAAATAAGGAATAAAAGATAGAACCACAATTGACCCTCCTCTTTTGATCATGCCTACAACTTGAAACTATTTTCACTGGCTCTCCTTAAAATTAAATATTTATCAAGAATGAACATTTGTTAAAATTTTATATAATTTAACAAGGGAAACAAATGTATATCATTGTATTAGATATTCAAAAGAGAATAAAAAATCAATTTATTATTCTAGTTGAATGTGAACATCTATTGTTCAAAACTAATTATTCTTTATAATTCATTATAAATTTATTTTTTTTATAACATTACCCTTCATAATATATATACATATATATATATATATATATATTATTTTTCCTAGTAATTGGTCAAAATTGAGAATAGAATACACTCAACTAAAATTTTTTAAATTCAAATAATGAAACTGGTAAGTAAGCTATACATAGCTGATAGACGACTTTTCAGATTGGATCATAAACACTTCTTAGTTCATCTTTTTAATTCTAAACGTAAAACTATTTTGGGAAATAGATTAAAAACTGAATTTTTTATTTTTATAATTTTTTTTCAAAAATGTGCAAAAAAAGTATAGAAATAATATGATCTAAAAAAGTCAAAAAATCAATAAGTTGACTTTTAACCTAATTGCAAAAGAGACCGTAGTCTAAACTAATGATAGACAAAAAAAATTTAGATGAGGATAGATCATAAAGACTACTTAAACTTAATTTCTCAAACATCTAAACATCTAAATGAAGTCTAAACAAGCCTACTGATTTCATATCCAGTTGCATAAAATCTCAATTGTCACATCCCCGCCCTAACCCGAGATTAGGAGTCGTGACGGGCCAATAACCAAGGTTACCAATGCCTCAAAACAAAACTGTGATGAAGATAGTGTGGACAATGCAAAGTTTGTTTAGTATATAATGTATGATTTAAATCTCTAGCATATTTGGAAGTCCCACAAAAATTGAGTGCACCATTGACATTTTGGAGGAAAACCTTCAATAAATTTCTAGCACATTTGGAAAATAGCCTAAAAATTAGAAAAGAGATTAATCAGGAGCAAGTGGAATAGGAATACTAGGGTTCAAGGAGGCAAAATTGAGAAACTCTCCATCACTTTGTAGTTTTTCAATATGACTTTGAGCCAAGACCACCCATGCTGCTATTCCATCCCCTGATTTTGTTTCTATCAAAACAGTGTAAAAGCAACCCACACAGGCTTTCCAAATCCCAAGTCCACATCATAGAACCCAAACCTACGCCAGCTGCTACATGTGTATACTTCTGGTGTTTCATTTGAATACAAACCTCTTGCCTCCTCTGTAGATTTCCGCACCATAAAAAACCCTTCATCACCTTGTAAACTTTGCACATAATCGCCATTGATTTTCTTTACTGCTCCACTTAGAATATCCAGCACACTGTTTGGCTCTGATTCTTCCCCCTTATGGTGTGCCATTGTCTGCCAGATGATGTTTCCAATGGAATTTTCCAACATTGGTGGCACCATTTTTGGCCTCACTTCACTGCAACCATCATGATAGATGGTTGTTTGGAACCCAATGCTCTAGAAGCATCCATAGCTTGTTTCCATATGAAGCTAGAAACCACTTCAAAGCGAGTTGGGTTAGGCACAGCTTCACTAGTTGCCTGAACTTTGAGTTAAGGTATTGCTTCGGCATCGAACACCAATCTACTCCAAATTCCATTTTCTTCCTTCCACAACCACCTCATGTCAAGCAACGATATGCGATCGTCTTGTGATTCTCTCAGAGGGAAAAGCGAAGAAGCTGAATTGAAATGGGGATGATATGCAATGGCTGCCCAGCATCTAACGAAGCCTTTATGGTGGCTGCATCTACGATTCGGTGTAAGAAGCATAAGCCGATTGATATTGCCCCACAAGTGAACACCTTGACTTGAATAGCTACTTGAACTGCCACATTTAGTGCCTCCATTAAAAAATCCTATGTCACACGGACTTGGATACGGGTATCGGGTGCGGGTGCGTATCTAGGGGTCAGAGACTTCAAAATTAAAAATTAAGGATACGTGGATATGTATCCAAATTTGGATACAGGTACGGGGATACATTAAATAGTTTTCTTTTTTTAAAAAAAATATATTTATTATATGGAGATGAGTTATATTATATAAATAACAAATAATTTTTTTATAAATATTTTTATTTTAATATACATTAATTATTTTATTTATTTATTATATTTTTTAAAAAATGTGTTCTAATTAATTTTTTTATTTTATTTTACATACATGTGTTTATTTTTTTTATTAATATATATAAGTATATATTATCTTATAATATGTATTATATATTATCTAATAAATATATAATAATAATAGCTATTATATATAGATAGATACGAATAGTTTATTCGGAATAGATATGAATCAAGAGAAGATATGAATCAAGTCAAGAGATAAAACGACAGTGAGAGAGAGAGAGAGAGGGAGAGAAGTGAAGCGATCGATCGCGATCGCGATCGCAAGGGAGAGAGAGAGAGTCATCTGGGGTGTTCGACTGTTCGATCGATTGATGGAGCTTGGAGCTTCGATCTTTGACTGGATCGACCGGATGGAGCTTCGACTGGAGGTCTTCGATCTTCGATTGGATGGAGCTTCGACCAGGTTCTCTCTCGCTCTCTCCTCTTTCATTTCTTTTGATGTTTGTAAAGAGCCATGTCTGAGAGAGAACAGACAAATCCGACACAGATCCCACTCCCGCACCCGTGTCGTGTCGTGTCATGTCGACATGGGTACTTCGCCCCAAAGTGCTGAGTCCATGTAACACGGGAAAAATCTAGGCTAGGAAGAAATCAATCCAATAAGTCTATTTTAGGTTGTTCGAGAAATTCAGACAAGTGACAGTTCACTCTGGCCTCTAAAAATATAACTCCTTCATCGTTGCAATCGATCGACAGGTAGTCTTTAATCCGTCCAGCAAGCGGGTCGAAGATGGACAAGGTTTTCGAAAGAGAATCATGTAAGTGGCTAAGATAGAGATTATTGGTATCACTAGTGAGGATGAGTGGGTAAAAGAAGGTATATAATACCTAGGAGAGAACTGGTCTAAAAGGGAGAGAGTGAAGATTCTTAGATAGGAAGGTGTTGATGAAGGCCTGTTTGTTTCTCAGGAAATGATTTCAACTTCCATAAAACCAAACCAAACAAAACCAAACTAAGGTTTAAGTCTCATCAAATGGAGTTGACTACATGAATCATTCTTCTCCACTCGACTCTATCAATGGTCATTTGGTTAGTCAAATTAAAGAAATTCATATCTCTATTTACTATATTAACTCACGTTAATCTAGGTCTGCTCCTTTCCCTAACACTTCCATTTACTATTATCGTATCGCATCTCTTCATTACTGCCTCTGTTAGTCTCCATTATATATGACCAAACCATCTTAATCTATTCTCTTTCAACTTATCTTCTATTCGGTACTACTCCCACCCATTCACAAATATACTCATTCCTAACTCTGTCTTTTCTAATCTTGCCACACATCCACCTTAGCATCCTCATCTCAACAACACTCATCTTATCTACATTGTTTCTTAGTTGCCCAGCATTCCATCTCATACAACATCGTTAGTTTGGTCTATTAGTAGTCCTATAGAACTTTTTTTTAGTCTAATGGATATTCATTTATCGCACAATATCCTAGATGCACTTCTCCACTTAAGTCACCCCGCCTTGATTCTATTCTATGGACCACATCCACTCTAATCTCTCCAGTCATTGTAATAATCAATCCTAAATAACGAAAATGTTCACTTCTTAGATTATAATCAATGCTAGTTACTAACCATCAGCTCCATATATAACAGCTATTACTTGCATACATGCATATATATATATGTTCATAGCTAAGCAGCAACAAAACCTGGCCCAAGTCAAGGTTACCTATTGAGTGAGTCATGCCAATGCCACGACTTTAATTGTTAAAAAAAACAGTAACTTCCACTCCATTATGGTGTACCAAATTTGACTTTTTTTAAGAATACTGAACCGTCAATTTTGACTTCAGTAACTTCCCCTCTTTTGAGCCACACTAGTTTTCTCAGTAAACCAAAACGCATTTTGTAACATTTTGATTATTAAAATATGCATTTTATTTCATAGTCTCCAAAATATACAAATTTTAACATTTTTTTATCCCTTATCTTCTAATTATTTTTTTTTATACATTTTTTTAATAAATTTGAGAAAGTACTCGTCTTCCCGTTACAGCAGACCACATAAATTGATGATCAAAGTGGAATAATTAAAAGATTGGTTACTAAAAGTGTAACAGAAAAGGTCCTTTGGAGCCAATTTGTGTAATTAATTCAAAAACCTATTTTGGTGAAATTTGTGTAATTAATTCAAAAATCTATTTTGGCATCAAATTCTCCGCCAAACATTCCACACGCAATAGTAAAAATTCCTCAATAGAGGTGGGAAAGTCCAGTTCGAGTGAACAGCTAAATCTTGACATGAAGTAATTATTGACCATAATCTATTATAAGCTAACATTTTTATGGGATCTTCTGTTATCAAAAACTTTGTCCCGAAAAAAAGATCCAATCATCATAGAAAAACAGAGAAAGATCAAAGTAGAAAGCAAAACGAACCAGAACAATCTACCTACTAATCACATTTCTCAAATCACTAATTCATCACAAGCAATCTTGATTACACTTCTGAAACTAAACCCACAATGATAAATCTAACACTTATTTCCCACGAAGAAGAATTATAAAATCTCTCAAGAGATTCCAATAAAAACAGGCCTTCTTGAGTTTATTCAAATTGACAGCTATGCTACGAATTAAGCCTTCACTTCTACTTGCTTTGGTCCATGTTCAGGTATCAACAATCCAAGCCCTTCCTTAGTATTGGATTCAACAACAGAAGATTCATATCTTTTCTGATATATAGGGTTCGATGTCAAAACCCTCAACTCCGAATTCCCATTTATCTCTAAGACTTCCGGCAATCCATTAATACATCCTTTCGACATACCCACATCAATCCGAATAGCTCGATTCTCACAAACCCCATTGATTCCACTCTCTTGAATTGTATGACCCATGATCATCCTCTTTGCACCAGGAATGGTGGCAAGAACATGTTCAAGAGTCGAACAATCGCAATGTTGAGCCAATTCCTGAGAGAATTTCCTCAACCAAACAACCGAATTCCTCCCCCTAATCAAATTCTTTGAAACACTCTCTTTCAATCCACTAATCCAATCCCTAACCTCTTCGTTAATTCGATCCAACCCATAATCAACATGGCTTGGTAAAAGCCCTCCGTGAACAAACACAGAATCACCAACAACAACAATAGTCAAATTATTTGCTAGAAATCGACTCGAAATCGGACCTTCAGGTCTCAACGCAGCAAACCTAGCCCTAACTCCATCACTAATTTCTTGTTTCAAATTAGGGAAAACCAAAGGCAACCCACGATACAAATCCTTGGGTTTTTCCAACCCATCACAAAGACTCTTCATTGAATTACCAACACAGTACCAATCAGCCCAAACCCTAAATTCATCGAGAGCGGACTTAGTAACAAACCTGAAATCGCCGTCGATGTTCATGATTTCGTGATTCCCATTCATGGTGACGATTTTCCCACCGACTTCCGCGGCCTGTCGCTTGAGTTTCTCGAGAAAATAGAGGATCTTGATTTCGTCGCCGCCGCGATCGAGGACGTCGCCGACCTGGACGAGGGTGGCGGAGCCGCCAATCCAGCGGTCGGAGGGGTCGATGAGGCGGGCGAGGCGGAGGGCTTGTTTGGATTTTTGGAGGTCGCCGTGGAGATCGCCGATGGCGATGAGGCGGTCCGGCGACGGGTATGTGGTCTGCAATGAGGGATTAGGGTTAGGGTTTGGGGGTAAGAAGAGGCCGCTGACGGTGAAGTCAACGAAGGTGTCGATGAAGGAGGAGAGAAGGTGAGGGAGGTTTTTGCAGGTGATGTGCTCTGTGTCTGCCATTTTTTTTCCACTCTCTCTCTACAGTGTGTGTGGTAAAAAATGGCGAAGAGAAGAAAGAAGAGGTATTTATTGGGCCTATTAGGTTTAGTGGAATTTTATTTAAGTTGGAAGATGATTTTTTAAGAAATAGTTTTAAATTTGTATAAAAAATATTCTTTTTAAAAAAAAAACAGAAAAAAAAAAGGTCAAAACAAAGTTAATTTTTTCTTTTTTAATCTTTAAGGTTGTTTGGGATGACCTAAATAAGTGTATTTTTTATCTTTTTACGAAAAGATGTGCAGAAAAATAGAGAAATGATGTGATGGAAAAAAGATAAAAAGTGTGTACTTATTTTAGATAACTAAACTTGGTCTTAGTAAAATTTTATTGATGATTTTTATAAATAAAAAAAAATTTGATGTTTTTCTAATATATATAGTAGAACTTTTCAATAAAAAAAATGTTTAAAAAAATATTGCAATTTACGAAAAGATGTGCAGAAAAGTAGAGAGATGAGGTGATGGAAAAAAGATAAAAAGTGTGTACTTATTTTAGATAACTAAACTTGGTCTTAGTAAAATTTTATTGATGATTTTTATAAATAAAAAAAAATTTGATGTTTTTCTAATATATATAGTAGAACTTTTCAATAAAAAAAATGTTTAAAAAAATATTGCAACTTTTTCACATTTTTTAAATACTTATATTTTTTGATTTATTTTAGTTATTTATTATTAGTCATAAGTTACAAGCTGTAACAAGCAATTGACATAGACACTCTTGCTATTAAAAAAAAATTTTGCAACCACCTTTTAAAAATTGAATTAAAGTGATAACTACGTCTTTACCTAACCTTCAAAAAAATAAATCAAATCACATACGTTTGTGATAGGATAGACGTGGTGGAGTTGGAGGGAAAGGATGATTTTTTGTTTTTTTAATTTGTTATGGGTAACAGTTAATTGTTAGTTGTTAAATTTATAATAATTAAGGTTCGTTTGGAATGTGAGTTGATTTTTTGATTTTTTTAACTTGAGTCTAAAAAATCTCGTTTGAGATAAGTCTTTTGACTTTTTTAACTTTTGTGAGAAAAAAAATAAAATAATTATAATTTGGATGTGATATTTTGTCTTATTTACTTTTTATCTTATTTTATCTTTTTATAGTTAAAATAACTAAAAAGTCAAAAAATTTGGCATGCCAAATGAAGGCTTAACTTTTTTACTTTTGCAAAGCATTTAGCACTAGGTGTTTTGGAAAGGAAAAAAAAAAATCTATCTTTTAGCTTTTTACTCATTTTGGGATACATCATCTCTCACATTTTTTACCCACAAAAAGATAAAGTAGACTAAAAAAGTCAAAAAATTTAATTTTTTACCAACTTCTCAAAGCACTACTAAGCATTTTCTTTCTAATTCAACTCTCCCTTAGGAAGAGTTGAATCCATAAATTTTTTTTTTTAGATTAAACCCTTAAAATAATTATAATGACCAATTAAATTAGACTTAATTAGTTAAAGATAGCAAGACCGACCCTAACCTAAGGGCAAAAAATTGACTCAAAATTTAGTAAAGTGTTATAGGCCCAAGTTTTTTTTTTAAGGGCCAATTTAAAGGGTCCTAAAATATTCTATTGGGTTCATATTTATTTATAAGTGTTATTTAGCCCGTATTTATTAAAATTAAAATATATACAAAAAAAGTGTTTAGGGACCAAGAAGAACAATACATACATAATATATCTGCTCAGTGCTCTCAATCTCTCTCTCTTTTTCTCTCTCTCTCTCTCGAAATGATGAAGGAAGCATTCTTCAAGCATACCAAGGATAAAGCAGGGCACCGAGCAGCGACAAGCTGGCGACTCACTCTCTCTCTCTTACATACTCCGACGACTCACTCTCTTTCACACTCTGTCACACACACACGCGCGCGCGCGCGCGCACACACACACACACTCTCTCTCTCTCATGGTAAGCCCTTTCTCTCTCACTATCAGATTTGATTAAATAAAGTTGCCCTAATTTTTTTCTACCTTCTTTCTTTATCAGTTTGTGAAATAATAAATTTGCCCTATTTTTTTTTTACCTTATTTATCTATCAGATTTTAGTGGAATAAATAATTTTGTCTTAATTTTTTTTACCTTTTTTATCTATCAGATTTTAGTGGAATAAATAATTTTAGCCTAATTTTTTTACCTAGGTCTTTATCAGTTTTAATTGAATAATTTTTTCCTAATTTTGTTTCATTAATTTTTTTTTTTTTTTTTTTTAATTTCATTGCTATCAAATATGAGATAAGAAGTGAATTGTGATTTGTAGATTGAACTATGATTGTAGTCATGTTTCCTAGGAAGTATAGTTTTGGAAATGAAAAGAGAAAGAAAAAGATGAAAGCAGAACAATTAATTCAATCTCAATCAGGAGCACTTGATAAATATTTTGGTAGCAAGAAATAAGTAGATATTTTGGGTTCAAATGACAATAATGATGAAGATTTGATAATTGAAGAACTTACTCAATGTGTGAATAATCATGAGGATGATGATTTGGCGATTGAAGAACCTAGTGAACAAATGAATGAGAATGAGAATGAGAATAAAGATTTAGAGAATGTAGAATCTGGTGAAAGTAAAGATGTCAATGTTGAATGTGGACCTCCAAACATTTATGATCATGGTAATGGGGACAAGATTGATCAAAATTTAAGAGATTTATTAGATGAAAGAAGTCCTATAAGAGGTAATGGTGTGAATTTTTCCCTATATGTCAATTGTAAATTGGAAATTGCTAAACTATTAAGCAACCAAACCAATTTTTAATGTTTTTAAATCATTGTATTGATTTCTTCCTATCTTAATATATGAAAATAAATTTTAGTTTATAATTTTAATGATTATAGTGTAAGTAAACTTAAATAAAAAAATTATTGATAATCATCGTTTTATGCATAATTTTTTATTAAAAATATATATATATTAAAGGGCCCATTTTTATAATTCACCTTAGACTTACAAATCTCAGGGCCAACCGTGAAAGGTAGTGGGCTTTGTTGGTTCTAGCTGGCGATGGGCAGCAAAGGAGTGGGATCGGGGTGAGTAGTGGGTTCTTAGAGAAAAAAGTTTATTTAGGCTATGGTTGACATAAATTTTTTGAATTAAAATAATTATAAAAAGATAAAATAAATTAAAAAATTAATAAGATAAAATATTATATTTAAATCATAATTATTTATTTATTTTTTTATCAAAGTTAAAAAAGTCAAAAAGTTCATCCCAAACGAAACATTTTAAGCCTAGGATAAAATAATCAAAAATTTAAAAAGTCAACTCACATTCCAAACGAAAACTTATTCAAAAATTATTTTTTTTAAATAAAATGTGGATTGTAAATTTAAAATTAATGGAATATGAATTATGATTTATTGGTATAAACTTTATGTTTGTTATATGAAAAATGTTCTAGACTTTAAAAGTTTTACAAAAAAAAAAAAAAAATTACCACACACAGGTATTTGTAGGAAGAGGTCAACCTTCATGGTTACTTGTATTTAGTGGTGTAAATCTAACCCAATGGCCCGCAGCTTGATGCAGCCGGCCCAACCACATCCGAGCTCAAGCTCAACATGAGACCGTAGGCTTGGGAGGTTTGTTTTGAAGTAAGGCCTAGCCCGCAGCCCGGTCAGTTTGGCTCGATATTTTTTGCCTCTATTGTCTCGGACCAGCACTACCCAGCTCGACCAATTGACTTAGGTCAAAAAATTTCAACCCTCCTATAGGCCCAAAAATTGTATTCATCAAATATTATCTATTTAATTTAATGATTACAATATTTTGTTTCATTTTGATATATAAAATTATTCATTTCATTTCATTTCATTTTCTTCCGGGAAAGACTATTGGGGAATTTTCAAAATGGTTTTTAAAATTTATAGTTTAATTTTTGGGTGTTTTCAAAACCTTCCTGGTTTTTCTTTGGAAAGCATTAATTAAGCTTGGGGACTTTGTCCCACACTGGAAAGAGAGGAAAACATAGAGCACTTAATAAAGTACTACATGGAATATTCCTTTGAATATGGAATTATGGAATGAAAGCTAGTGTGCATGCACTCACACCACACGAACGCGCGCGTGCTCGTGCGCAGTGACGTTTGATGGCGCACTTTGCACTTTGCACTTAGCACGAGCACCATGAGGGCGCTTTTCTATTTGCATCGGACAGGTTGGAACGATGACGTGGCATGGGTGACGTGGAATACAGTTAGCTCCACGTGGCAGTGACGTGTCGTCCGTTAGCTATGAATCAACCAACCGATCAAACAGTTGTGTGTCCGATCTAAAGTGTGTTGATCATAAGCCGTTGATTGGAGATGCGCGCGATCGTACGGATGAGATGGCACCCGATCGTGATCAGGTGTGATTAGTCAAGGCATCTATTGGGTGTCAAAATGATCTGCACCTATAAGGGGAGTGATTAGAAAGGTAAACTATGCTAATGATGCACTGATGGAGAAGTGGCTTAAGAATGAACAGCAGTAATTATTTGGAAGTTGAAGAGTGTGTAGCTGGGTGAGGGTGAAGCAAGTGGCTCAAGAAGAAGAATGTGACAGTACCAAATTGGGAAGCATCTCCCTAAAATCTCCAAAATTCCTCCTCTTGAACATTGGGAAATGGGTCCTATTTATAGGTTTTTCCTTAGTGCTAAGAAGACACCATGTGGCCAAATAGAGAGAAGACATGTGTCCCAGAGGATCACATAGAATATTCTACCTTGAGCCACCAGGCTGAAAGTGTCACGTCTCCCTCTGCATGTACTGTATACTATCTGTTTGCCTCCGCAACTACCTTTTTGAACCTTAGCAAGTATAGTTGCGTCGGGAGTATTTGGTGCAGCAACTCCCTTTTTGGGCCTCAGCAAGTGCAGTTGTAGCGGGAGTGTTTGCCTCTGCACTTGCTTTCTCAGCTTGAACCTCAGCAAGTGCACTTGCAACGGTGAACCTCGCCGTTGCAATTGCCTTCTCAGTTCTATTTGGCCAATACATGTATTCTCAGGACTCCATTAGTCTGCTATTG